CCTCCAGGACACTCAATACCCCTTTATAAGACCATAAGCACTAAGGTAAAAACTACTATTGGGATAGACATTTACAGAGCCAAGAAAGCTAACCCCATCCCTAAAACACTGGAGCAAAAAGGCAAGGTGAGAGGAGGCTGGTTGGGCACAAGTCATAAAGCCTACAAAGTAAAGGGTTGTTCTCTGATAGAGTGTTCCAGAACTGCAGATTCACTGGACAGAAAAACATTGTGAATATTGCCCACTTCAGGAGAACCTGAGCTACAAGGAAGCCAGTCAACTAAACTTCATATGGGAAGATAAGTAAGACAAATAGTGACTTTGTGATGATATGAAAGGACTCTCCTACAGAACCACTTGAGCAGAAGAATGAACACATTGTAGCCTGACTTTGCTTTAATGCTCTGAAATGGTTGGAGGTAAACAGAAAAAAAAATTACTCTGAGGTTTCGTCACAGAAATGTTGCTGATGTGTGCCTAGCCAAAGGGCAGACATATCGGTTAGCTACATATTTATGTCATTGAGTTTATTTAATATGGTGAAGATCTCTTGTCTGATAGCATCCATTCTCTGAGGTCTTTGATGCACATATATAAGCAAGTTCTGAATTCATTTAGCTAGTAGAGTTTAATTGCAAGGTAGAAAATATTTGTTTTGAGTACAGTTTTCTCTCAGAGTTAGAATTATTCACTACTGTGTGATGAAGATGTTTCATCTTTCTGAAAGACTGTTGGAAAAAATTATCCTCTATCGCACAAGCCCCTCCAGTTGTGGGCTAGGGATTTGTGGAGAGCATTTAAACAATTTGGTCATTACCCACATATCTTTGAGATATTGAAATCTGAGCTTCCATTTGAATTAAACTGATACTCAAATGGCAACAAATTGTTCTTTGACAGTACAGTATTTAAAGGGTTACTGAAGCTTGCACTTAGAGATCAAATTAATAAAAGAGAATATCATAAAGAGCCAAACTTAACACTGGATACACTGACAAACATGCCGTAACATCTAATTCTAAAATACTCATTAACAGAAATGTGGTTTTAAAAAAATTCTAAATTTATACCTAAATAAAAATAACTATTTGAATTCAATTGTTAGATCAAAGTCAAAATTCTCACCTATCACCCAGTTTTGAACTGGTGAACGTGCAATTAAAATGAGTATGTATGAATGTTATGTCTTTGCATTTTTAAGGATGGAAAGAAGTTACAGAGTTTTATAAAAGTGTGATATAGAGGGGCCCTTTGCAACTTTATTTAATGTTTTATTATTTGTTTTTGTTAGAAATGTGCTTTGAAAAGTCTAATTATATATATATATATATATATATATATATTATATAAAAACCTTATAATTGCTACCTGATTGGAGATTAAAGATGGCAGCAGACCAATTGGAAGCTACACTGACACTCTCCCAGGACCAATCTGTAATTACAACTAAAATATAGAAAAACCATCCTGAATAATCAACTGCAACTAAGGATGAGTTGGAGAGCACCCTCATAACCAAGGAGGAAAAGTGAAGACCACATAGAGACCGGCAGGAAGTGAGGAGACCTGAGAGGGCTGGCTGGGCTCCCACAGGCAGCAGCTGAAGATCCGAAGGGATATCTCAGCTGTGGGGGGTTCCCACTGAGGACTCTGGGGACTAAACTCCAGACTGGGCTTCCCAGCCAAGAGCACCAGAAGTGAGAAAGGTGCCCACGTAACATCTGACTGTGAAAAGCAGCTGGGTTTCTGTCTGCCAGGGAGAGATGGCTGGAAAAGCAGGCACCCTCTTAAAGAGTCATTGCACAACATTTCATGTGCATCCATTCACCTTGGACTCCAGCAGAGGAAAGGCAAAGCGGACTGAGCTGTGTGAAGAGAATTAGGATTGTGGGCTCTGGAGATTGATATCAGAAGGCACCCCCGACTGGGGATCGAGCCCACAACCCAGGCATGTGCCGTGACCAGGAATCGAACCTCGATCTCCTGGATCCTAGGTCAGTGCTCAACTGCTGCTGAGCCATGCCCAGCTGGGCAGGGTTGTCCACTTTCACCACTCTTATTCAACTTAGTACTGATTGCCACAGTGATCAGACAAGAAGAAAACATAAAAGGCATCCAAATTGGAAAGGAAGAAGTAAAACCGTCATTATTTGCAGATGACATGATATTGTACATAGAAAACCCTAAAGACTCCACCAAAAAACTACAAGATTTAATAAATGAATTCGGCAAGGTAGCAGAATACAAAATTAACACCCAGAAATCGATGGAATTTTTATACACCAATAATGTACTCTTGGAAAGAGAAAGTAAAAAATCCCATTTACCACTGCAACAGAAAAATTAAGGTACTTAGGAATAAACTTAACCAAGGAGGTAAAAGACCTGTACTTGGAAAACTACAGGATGTTGCAGAAAGAGATAGAAGAAGATATAAACAAGTGGAAGAATATACTGTGTTCATGTATTAGAAGTATCAACATCATTAAAATGTCAACACTACCTAAAGCAATCTATAAATTCAATGCAATTCCTATTAAAATACCAACAGCATATTTCACAGGCCTAGAACAAATACTGCAAAAATTTTTTTGGAACCCAAAAGGACCCCAAATTGCCACGGCAATATTGAGAAGGAAGAACAAAGTTGGAGGGATCACAATACCAGATATCAAGTTATACTACAAAGCCACTGTGATCAAAACAGCCTGGTATGGGCACAAGAACAGGCATATAGATCAAAGGAGCAGAACAGAGAACCCAGAAATCAACCTAAACCATTACACTCAATATTTGACAAAGGAGGCAAGAATATACAATGGAGTAAAGACAGTCTCTCCAATTAATGGTGTTGGGAAATTTGGACAGGTACATGCAAAAAAATGAAACTAGACCACCAACTTACACCATACACAAAAATAAACTCAAAATGGATTAAAGACTTAAATGTAGGATGTGAAACCACAAAAATCCTTAAAGAAAACTTAGGCAGCAAAATCTCAGACATCTCTAGTAGCAATATGTTTACTGATAAATCTCCTAGGGCAAGAGAAACAAAGGAGAAAGTAAACCAATGGGACTACATCAAAATAAAAAGCTTCTGCACAGCAAAAGAAACCATCGACAAAATGAAAAGGGAGCCCACTGTACGGGAGAATATATTTGCCAATCACACATCTGATAAAGGGTTAATATCCCAAGTATGTAAAGAACTCATACAACAAACATAAGGAAGACAAACAAAGGACTTAAATAGACACTTTTCCAAAGAGGACATACAGATGGCCAAGAGACGTATGAAAAAATGCTCAGTCACTAATCATCAGAGAGATGCAAATTAAAACCACAATGAGGTATCACTTCACACCTGTCAGAATGGCTCCATCAACAAGTCAACAAACAACAGGTGCTGGCGAGGGTGTGGAGAAAAGGGAATCTTAGTACACTGCTGGTGGGGATGCAGACTGATGCAGCCACTAAGGAAAACAGTATGGAGTTTCTTCAAAAAATTAAAAATGGAATTGTCATTTGACCCCAGTGTCCGCACTTTTTAAAAATATATCCAGCCCTGCTGGGCGTGGCTCAGCGGTTGAGCGTCGACCTATGATCCAGGCGATCGGGGTTCTCTTCCCGGTCAGGGCACATGCCCGGTTGCAGACTTGATCAATGACTCTCTCATCATTGATGTTTCTATCTCTCTCTCCCCCTCTCCTTTCCTCTTTCTGAAATCAATAAAGATATATTTTTTTAAAAAAATAAAATAAAATAAAAATAATAAAAATATATCCTAAGAAACCCAAAACACCAATCAGAAAGAACTTAGGCACCCCTCTGTTCATAGCAGCACAATTTACAACAGCTAAGATCTGGAAACAGCCCAAGTGCCCATCAGTAGATGAGCGGATAAAAAAGCTGTGGGACATTTACGCCATGGAATACTATGCAGCTATAAAAAAGAGGGATCTCTTACCCTTTGGGACAGCATGGATGGAACTGGAGAGTATTATGCCAAGTGAAATAAGCCAAAGAAAGACAAGTACCACATGATCTCACTCATGTGGAATGTAGTGAACAAAACAAACTGATGAACAAAATAGATCCAGAGACATAGAAGCATGGAGCAGACGGAGGGATCTCAGAGGGAAGGCGGGGGTGGGGCAGAGGGTGGGGAGAAATTAATCAAAGAACTTAGAGGCTTATATGCATAATCTATGGACACAGATATTGGTATGGGGAAGGCCTGGGGATGGGGTGGATGAGAGGGGGAGGGGATCAATGCGGGTATAAGGGGAACATCTGTAAACACTTTCAACAATAAAGATAAATTAATATATAAATATTACATACATACACACACATACGCTGTGCATTTCAAGGAAAATTTGTGGCCAGTTAAATTTATCTTTCCACAGAACTAAAGAACAAATGCTTTGCCTTTGCTGCCCCAGCACCCTCTAGATCTTCTTTTATGAGCAGCATGCCCTTCTTTCCTTTTGCCTTTCCTGACTATTGTAATTTGCATACACTCCTTTATCAGTCTCATGGTGAATAGATTCTTGTTTTTTTCTTTCTCCTCTATACTTTTTCTTCCCCTCTGAATGCATTGCATAGATGACCGTCTTCCAAAATAACAACATCAATTAATTTTTTAACTTTAAAAAAATCATATTTAGCCCTGAGTCTGCCCTCTCCATTGATGTGCAGTGTGTGGAAGAGTCTGTGCAGGGACTGATAAGCCCCGTTCCTGAAGTCTCTTTAGTGGGGGGCCAGGTGCTCACTGATCTTGCAAACGGGCTGTTTATTCAGGCGGCCCTGGCCCTGGGTGGATTGAGAGTTGACCCTCCTGTCTCAGAGGGCTCAGAACCAACTCAGGAGACAGCTCTACTTCTGTGCCTGTGATTGGATGTTGTTCTTTGTTGTTTGTTTTTAATAGTTTGTCTTTTGAAGGCTTCCTCAGTTTACTATTACAGTTTTTCACACACTCCTTTCCCCTTTTGCAGAATCTGATGATCTCCGTGGGGACCCTGCACTCAGCCTTCAAAGTGTTCCTGCCCCCCAGGATGCTCGTAATTCAGTAGTAGATGCTGGTGGCCTTGAAAGCATCACCCAGTGTCCCCAGCAGCTTCCTCAGATGATGGCTGCAGGTAAATGTCTGTGGCCTGCCCAGTCACAAGGCATTTTGAGTTCTTAGTGGAAAAGCTTAGCCAGTCATAAAAATTGCATTGAATCCAGGGCTTGGGATCCTTAAATCAGGCTGTGGAACAAGTGAACATCAGAGAACACTTAGTCAAATTTAACATATTCTGTGGTGTGTATGTGTTGTTGTTGTTTTAACTCTGTCCTATTTGTTTTTAGTATCATTTATTTGTTATTTTGTTTTAATGAAAATCTGTGCTTATAAGAAATATTTTAGAAAAGTCACTTAAGGCAGACATCTGCAATTTCTTAATGCAATACTGTAAAGAGTTTGTAAAGGAGGAGATCTGTTACAAGGTAACAATAAATTCAGTCAGGACCAGTTTCATGACTTGGCAACCATTCTAGAGATGCTGTTAGTTAAAAGGTGTGCCTGCTCCAGCATTGAATCCAGAAGCAGCTGAATTTATTTATTCTCTGTCTGCCTAGCCAATTGACTTGTTTTACCAAGAGAGTATTCCTGCTCTGCCTCTCAGCCTTGAACCTAACTAATGTTGCTTCACTAGGAGAAGGAAGCGATTCTTCAATATTTTCCAAAAGTACTTCCTTAATGGCATCCTGTGTATAATATAAACTACATGTCATTAAGTTTCCTCCCAGAATGTATTCGGAAACTCTTTATATTTCGGTCTGAAGAAAACGTTGCTGTAGATTATGTGCTTTATTTTTCTGTGGTTTGGGAATATGCTAAATGAAGCCTCACATCTCTAGAAAAGTGATTTCCTTTAAAACAAACACCCTTGGTGTTGACTCCAAGTCACTGTTTGTTTTTCCCTGCAGCTGCGGATGGTTTGGGGAGTATAGCGATAGACACAACCCAGCTCAACATGTCGGTGACAGATCCCACAGCCTGGGCCACCGCCATGAATAATTTGGGCATGGTTCCCGTGGGGTTGCCCGGACAGCAGCTTGTGTCTGGTAAGCTTTCTCTGGGTTTGAAGCAGCAGCGCCAAAGGGTGGAGGTGACAGGTGCCCAGTAATCTCTCCGCACGCAGGTGTTGAGCGTGGTCTGTGATTTACGACCGGGGCATGTTTGGCAGGTCGTGCTTGAGATTCTTTTCCTCCTCACCTTGCTCTTTTGCCTAATAGCTGTTCTCAGAAAAAAAGGCCACATGCAGCATCTATCACCTGCAGCATTGCAACATCGATTTCATATTTCAACTTGGTAAACAGAGGGCTGATATTTGCTTTCCAATGTGCAAAACTCTTTCACACGCCCTATGCCATTTGATTCCACAGCCTTCACTTTGATACAGATGGATACTTACTGTTGTTGTTCTTATCAATGTTCTCATTTTGAAAACAGGGAGCAGAAGAGCAGAGTTGAGGTTACTCTTCCAGCATTGAAGTAGCAGAGCTAGAAATCCAGCTCAACTAACACTCAGTTCCACCTTTTTTTTCCACCACACTTTGGAATCATAATACAATGCATTCAATAGAGAAAATGTTTCAAAATGTCACAAAGTAGGAGGTCATCATTTAATTTGATCATGTTTATTTTCTATGTGCCCTCTAACATGAGCTTTGGGAAATAAAATATATGCCTATATAAGTGTCCTTGAGGAGCAGGTCTCCCTAAATTGAAAAACACAGCAACAAAAAAAAGCATAAAAATGTGTAGAATCAGTTGTTAGGTAGTGGGTCAGTACGAGGAATGTCGTTATTTGCAGAAAGATCAATGACTAAGGCTCTGAGGAAGTTGCTATCAGGGAGATGGGAGTTGAGCTGTCTGGAAAGATACATAAGATTTGCAGTATTTACTTCATTCATTCATTCATTCATTCATTCATTCATTCATTCATTCATCACAGAGTGTCCCAAAAAAATGTATACATACTTTTTTCTGATAGCTCAATTGATATTTCTTTCCTTTCAGATTTAACTAATTAGAATCAGTAATTATTCAAAGTGTTTATACATTTGGGAGGAACTCTATATTTTTTGAGACACTGTCCCGGTGCAGGGACTCCAGCAGTAAAAAAAACAAGCGTGGTCCCTGCCCTTCCAGAATGTGCATTTGAGAGGTGACAGTCAATTATAATACTAAGTTCCATGCCCACAGGCCTGTGTACTTTGTGCTGAGTTGACCAAGCATTTAGTTTTTTTTTTCCTTTTTTTGTCAATATTAGCCATAGATGTGAAAGTCTAAACTAGCTATAGTAAATTGTATATAATTTGTATGTATGCATGTACATATATGCATATACATATGTATATACACATACACACACACATATATACAAATAAGTAAGTACATAAAGTTCTTTTTAAATATAACAAGAACATGAGAGAGGATGGGAGATGGGAAAATGGGAGACAGAAAAAGGAAAGTCTACGATTGAGTTGTAAAACATTATACTTAATACACTTATAAAATTCTCTAAAATGTTATTAAATTCATACAGTTGAAGATTAGTCTGCTGCAGGATGTATGCGTGTGCACATGAATGGTATTTCCTATGGTTTGAACATGTGTTTATTCAGAACCCTTTTTCCTAAAGCTAATCTAGACACATACTTACTTTAATTACTTCAGAGTAAAGATTTATATTTTTCTACCTGCATTTTCCCACATTTTCTACCCACATAACTGAAATCTTCATATAGCAGAAATTACTTTACTTTTGTCCCCACCTCCCACTTCTCTCAGAAATGTTGGGTGACTTCCAGAGTGAGCCACACCCCAATAATTCATTATTTTTTATTATTTTTAGTCTTCTGACATTTTAACCATGACCAATTTATGATTTTCTCAGCAACTTACCATGTAAAGAATTACAGCCCTACTCATTATAGAAGATTTACCATATCTGTCCTGAATTACTCTCTCTCTTGTGTTAGCCAAACTGCCTTTCCTGGGAATTCCTTCTTTCCCAACTCTGCCAGTTGAACTCCGCTTTGCTTTGTTCTCGGGGCTGCCAGCAGAGGGTATGCAGAGTCTCAGGGTCAGGCTCTGTTCTATTCATTAGTGTTCATGTATTTTTCTTACAGTATTTTTTCTGTGCAAACATTTTAATCATATTAGATATAAGATACTCTATATGCATTTTTGACACCTTATTCTAAATTATTTTTTTCCATTTTATAGTTTTATATTTAAAACTTATAAAACCGCATTGAATAAATCTTTCTTAGTTTATTCAGTTATTCTAGTCTTACGTTTAGGTTTCTTCCATTTTTTCCCTTACTAGCCAAGTTTCTTTGGAGAACTTAATCTCTTTAAGCATATAAAAGCATTTCACCATTTCACCTAAAATGGTGATTGTATCTCTTTCAGGGGACTATTGTGAGATTTAAATATGATAACTTACATAAAATACAGCTATTTGTTTCTTTTCAGCATCGTCAGAGAGCCACAGAATGTTGCTTCTCGCTCAGTTTTCATGCCGGCCAGTGTGGCCGTAGAATGTGAGAGGCAGTCTTTAATGTCTCAGAAGGGATTTAAAGATTATTTAGTGTAACCTTCCTTCCAAGAAATCTCCTCTAAAACATCTCTGACAGGATTATGGAGAGGCTGGATTTTATGAGCACTTGGCCTTCTCCCAAGCTTCTGATATTTCTAAATGACCAACTACTCTTCCCATATTAGTTCAAATTAAACTGACACTAAGTCCCATTCCTTACTACTTCTGCTGTTCAATAAAATTACTAGCAAAGCAAGGTGTATAGTTTTAATATTCTATGATTTCAGCAAAGGGATTTTCCAGGAAATCAGGTCACTTACTACACGCTTTTCTGAGCTGTAATTGTAAGCTCCCACAATCACGCCTCTTCCATTTCCCCCCCACTTCATCATCCAGATGTTCCCCACCACAACCCATCCCCACTTTCAGGAATTTCCCTTTTACCTTCTTCAATATGAAGTGCTACCTGAGATCATTACACTGAGTTTGTTTATTTTACCCAAAATATATCATTATGTTGTTATATTCTAGCCCTAAATTCCACACTCCAAAGCTTGGTTTATCTCTGAGATAATATTTACCTCCTATGTTATTGTTTCCTGTTTTATTCCCCATACTTTTAGTTTTGTAGAATTATTTATTTGTATTGTTGTTGATTTGTTCTTACTACTTTGTGCACTGGCATTGTCAACTGATGGTTGGTGGCATCAATTCAACACCAACAGGACTCCCCAGTTTGAGGTGCGGTGAAGAAAGCAGCTTTGTTCAGTGCAAGCAGCTGAGCTGTGAAAACAGCATGGCTGTGGGCGCCCTGGGCCAGGCCCCTGTCCAGCTCGCCAGCTCCGCTCTGCTCCTCCTGTGCGGGTCTGCGCTGTCCTGCGCTGGTCTGCTCTGCTGGGGTGAAACATATTTGCTGGTTCATCTTTGGGTTTCAGCTCCAGCCAGGGAAGTGCAGTCTTTGGCCTTGGACGGAAAGGGAAAGTGCACTTGCAGAGCCAGAGGGGAGCTGACTTATATTGACAAAAGTGTCTACCCCTGGTCACCGATTGGTCTGTCCTCATGCAGAGGAGGACTCCAAAGCCTTGCAGTTTGGTACGAAAAGCACTGTCCTGATTGGTGAGAATGGAGCTGCTCTGACTGGTCAGTGAAGAAGCTGATGGAGATGAAACTGTGCAGCCTTGGTTGGATGGGAGACACCTCAGTCCTATTGATTAAAATAGGATCCCAGGACCTCCTTTATAAGGACTGCCTCGGGTGGCAGAAACGCAGTGCAGGCCGGCAGGTAGCTCAGTGCAGGCTTCTCACTGAAGTGCACTTCGCATGAGAGGCCCCTGGGTAGACATGGCTGCTAGACTCTGTGTTTTAAATTTGAACCAGTTAGCCACCAGGAACTCTTCTTAGCATGTATTTTCCTTCTCAGGGTCCAAAGTGTATACTTTCTAAGCTGCTCTATTGGAACATCAGTGTCCCACAGTTGTTGTTAGGTAGGGCACATGTCAAATAAGTGTTTACATGGTCTAAAACTTTGTGTTTAACTTTATGTGTAACTCAAGTAATTTGCTTTCTTTGTGTTTCCTCAGAGCCGTTACCATGCTGATGTGCAAAGTGTAGTTTCAAAGAGTCATATCTAGTATGTAGGATTTCCCAAACTTGATTCAGCCTTTAAAAAATCTATTAGCATCTCAGGAGACACTAGAATATAGACATCTACCAAATTTTTCCACCAATGGTGGAGGTGCTTTTCCACTACTATCCATCTTTCTCTGCCATATATAATATCTTCCCTGTGATCTAGTTTACAATTTTGTTTGTGTTTTCACTGAACAGTGTCACTCCATAATCTAAAATTTCAAAATAGTTCTCTTGTGGTCAGGTGCTGCCTGAAGCCTTCCCAGGAACTCCCACCTCTGGCCATAAGCTGCAATCCAGAATATTAAATCCTGAACTTTGATACCATCTGTGACCAGCTGCTCCCTTCCTATATACCCTGGCTTCTTTTCCAAAGTTATAATCACCAACTAGAAGAGTTGAAAAGCAACAGCTTAGTCCCCAGGTTTTAAGTTTCCTGTCCAAGCCTGCATGTGAACTGGTAATACTTTCTGGATATATACCCTGGCCATGAGGTTATACCTTGCCTATCTCCAAACTTTTTGAAAAATGTTTTCCTAATGTCAGCATTCCCCCTTAGTTGTTGTTGACTATAAGTTGACATATATTCTTACCCTAAGTTCCTTAGCATGCCATTTGTCATATTTTGAATACATGTTCTGAAGAATCGTCACACCTCCCTATCAGCTATGAAGGGCTATGTACAGGACAGTGCCACTTGCCTTATCAGGGACTAACATGGAGCCAATAAAAGAACGTCTTGACTCTTACACATATATGTCAACACTCCGAATTGTTCCTCGGCTCATACCTTGCTGTTTCTTCTTCAGAAGCCCTGAGTTTCTATCCCCGCTCCTGCTCCCTGCCACTCTGAGAAGAGTTTAGCTTTGAAACTCATAAGAGTTA